AAGAATATATGTTAAGACAGTCCTCCACAGCCACACCCAGAGGCCCATTTTCCAGCTCATTGATTCTAGATCTCACCAAGTTGGCAACTAAGATTAATTAATCACAGGCACCCTCACCTCAATCTGCTAGATTAAACCCATTCTTCAATGCCCAAATAAGTTCCATAACCCTATTCTCCACAGACCTTTGGAAACAAGCAAAATACAAGTGAGTCTCTGAACAGGTCTCTGGGATGAGAGCAGGGTTCCAGGTTCACCGGAGTTCTGTGTTAAAATTGGGCAAGTTTCTTCCTCTGCAGGACTTCTCAGGGTGTTCCGCCCACTCATGCTCATTAGGAATCCTCTAGAAGAAGCACGGCAGCTCAGCATGGCTGTTCCTTAGGAGCACCCATCCCACTTTGCTATCTGGATGGAATAAGTTGCATGTGACCTTCCAAAAGTCTAACCAGATCTGGCTGTATAGGCAAAGCCATGAACTGTCTCTCATGACGGGGATGGATTCTCTTGCCCAGTGGAGAATCTCAGAGTCTTCACTCACATCTCTGTCTCAAACAACAGAGAAACAAAATTACTCTGTCCTCAGTGTCTCCTAAACTGACATATGGGGATGCTGTGAACAAAGGAACCTTGTACATAAGCCTACCACCTGACTGGTATGCTTGTTCAGTAAGGTGAATGCATTATACAACTGGCTGGACCATGCACCAGCGTTCCCTAGAAGGATAAGGTAACTAATTAGCTGTTAGACTCCAGCATAAGAAACAAACACCCAGAAACTCTGTCAGACCAGCATGCTAGTTCAGTTGGGAGATAGCTTTGAGGCACAGGAAAACAAGGTGGTCTGAAGCGTAAATCTAATTAATCTTATCAATAAAAACCAGGGGTCAGATATCGGAGGAATAGCCTGAAAGATCAAGAAATAGAGGAGCAGCCACTAGTAACCACTTGCCTCTCTGGATCCTCCAACCAAAAGGACCGAGGTCCTGTCTCCACTTCCCAAGTGCTGGGATTAAAGGTACGAGCCACCACCGCCCAGCTTCTGTGGTTAACTAGTGGCTAGCTCTGCCCTCTGATCTCCAGGCAAGCTTTATTTGTCAGAACACAAACAAAGTATCACACACCAGTGTCTAACAGAACAAGGGGTCAAGATCTTAAATTATCTACAGGGGCAGTTGGGCAAAAATTTGCTTTAATGGCCCACTTAAACACAGCATTGACTGTTGCAATCAGATGGTGGGTGACATGATTGTTCAGAAGCAAAATTCAGTCATTAAATCTTCAACAGCCCCGGAGAAGAGCTCCTGGACTTCTCGGGCCTTTGCTAGGTTGGGGTGAGGGCACGGTGTCAGAACGGAGCCCCTGTCAGGGGGCTCTTTCCTCCCACAGCCTCCTTCCAGTTCCAGGTTCTGTGCAGGTATTGGGAGACTCCTGCTCAAGGGATCCGAGTGGAGAGCAGGTTGCTGGACCCCAGCCAGGACTCCTAGGCTGGCAGGGCAGCAGAGGAGGCACAGTCTTCTGTCGGGGCAGTAGCTTCTGCGTAGACTGCAAACGGAGTCTGCAAAGGGAGCCTGAGGTCTGGCTGTGCCGTCTTTTGCCTTCTCTCTCTTTCTTCCCTCCTTCTTTCCACCTGAGGAGCTGTCACTGTTGCAGACTACTGGTCTAAATCTCTCCATCGTGGTGTCCGTGTGTCTCCCTCCCCCACCCCCCACCCCCACCTTCTTTTTTTCCTATTTGAACCCTCGATTTAACTCGTCTAGGGCTTTTAAGAGTGGAAGTGTGATGTCCTCAGGGCTCATTCTCAGGTCCACCCCTTAGTGTGGTGAGATCCGGTGCCTTGACGGGACCCTGGATGCAACTGAGTGACAGTCACTGAAGTGGAGGGGAGCCCTGCCAATCACACCCACCCCTCTCTCAAACCCCTATAGGAGCATCCTGCCAGCCTCTCCAGCAATTCGTGTGATCACCTGGTGGTAAACTGGGACCAAGCTTGACTTGACCACGGCCACCAAGTTGGGAGCTGCGGACAGGGACTGGAGTCCTGAGACCAAGCCTCTCCTGGGAAGTCGCTAGACCTGGGAAGAGATGCTAACTCAAACCGGAACACTCGCCTGCTGCCTCTTCACAGGATCCAGAGAACGGAGCTGAAAGTAGCCTTGAACACACAACCCAGCGGCTCATTGGGTGTTCTTTCCTGAGGCCTCCTTCTGCAGCTACAGTAGTTCTGAGGGGCCAAGCTCAGCCCTTCCATGCTGGAGAAACTCGGTGCACAGCTAGAGAGGAGCCAGCCTGCTCCCGGGAAGAGGAGCAGCAGCTCCCATGCTCTAGACTCAATCCTCCTCTCCTGTTTGCCTTGGGAGGAAGCCAGTCAGATGCACAGGATCGGGCTGCCCTGAACCCTGAGACAGCAGGCTAGTTGTCGCCTCACTGGGGGAGACAGGGGTGGGGGGGTGAGGGGGGTAGGTCCCAGGAGGAGTGAAGGGTTTAGCAGCAGGATTGGGGGTGGAGGGTGGGGTGGCTTAGAAAAGGACCTGGCCCTGAGGAGTGTAACCCACTGGGCCTCTTGTCAGGTGTTCCCAAGTGACATTCTGGGGGCTCAACAGGCTTAGGGAGACCAAGAGAGAAGCAGAAGGGTTAGCAGAAAAATTGGAGGGCTGGAGAGATGGCTCAATGGTCCAGAGCACTGGCTGCTCTTCCAGAGGACCTGGGTTTGATTCCCAAAACCCACATGGAGGCTCACAACTGTCTGCAACTCCAGTTCCAGGGGGTCTGATGCCCTCTTCTGACCTGTGCAGCCAGCAGACATGCATGTGGTGCACACATACAAGCAAGTGAAACACCCACACATGGTTAAGAGGGGTGGGGTGGGGGGTGGCTGGGGGTGGTGGCGCATGCCTTTAAACCCAGCGCACAGGAAGCAGAGGCTGGTGGAACTCTGTGAGTTCAAGGCCAGCCTGATCTACATATCAAGTTCCAGGCCAGGCAAGGTTACATAATGAGACCCTGTCTCAAACACCACACAACAAAAGGCAGAAAGTTTAGTCATAACTCAGCTTTGGTGGGCAGCGTCGGCTTTCTCGTCTGTTCAATGTCTGGGCCCCTGTTCTAAAAGGACGCTAAGATCTTGAAACTACCAGGTGTAGTTTGATCAGCAGAGAAAAAGATGGCTAAGAAGCAATCCGAAGGGGCTAGAAAGATGGTTCAGCTGGGAGCCTGAGCTGCTCATGCAGAGAACCTGAGTTCAGTTCCCACATCCGGGAGCTCACAACTGCTTGTAACTCTAGCCCCAGAGGACCTGATGCGTCTGGCCTCCTCAGGAGCTCACCTTCACTTATCTATACACAGACACATGCATGGCTAAATAGTAAAAAAATCTTTTATTTTTATTCTGAGACAGGGTTCTGGAACTTACTATGTAGACCAGATTGGCTTCAAGCTCCAGGAGAACTGCCTGCTTCTGCCTTGAGTGCTGGGATTACAGACATGCACTAACACTCCTAGCTAAAAATAATAAAATCTAAAAATAATAAAAGCTAAAAAAATAAAAAGAAAAAAAGACAAAGGAGAAGCAAATTGAAGCTTCAAAGGCTTCCAAATAACTATCTTGGGGCAGGTCCTCTGCACTGATAGAAGCCAAAATCTTAGTCTTAATCTGAATTGTTGATGGGGCACCTGTCTATATGGCATACATGGGTGAAAACCACACCAGGTGTACACCTCAGCTTTGTGCATCTGAATGTGAACTGTAACTCTGTCTACGGGAGTAGACTTCAGCAGGAGGAAAGGCCAGGGAGACTGTAGAGGAAGTAAATTCCCACCCAAGAGATTAAAGATCTTCCTCTTCAGAAATTTCTTGTTATTATCTTATTATTTCATATGTGTGTTTGTCTGCATGTGTGTCCGTGCATCATATGCGTGCCTGGTGCCTACAGTGGCCAGAAGAGGGTGTCAGATCCCCTGGGACTGGAGTTACAGTTGTGAGCTGCCATGTAGGTGCTGGGAATAGAACCCAGGTCCTCTGGAAGAACAGTCAGTGATCTTAACCTCTTTAGCCCTCTCTCTGGCCCTATTTTTATTTGTTTTTGAGAAAGATTTCACTCTGTAGCCCAAGCTGGTCTCAAACTCATGGCAATTCTCCTGCCTCAGCATTTCAAGTGCTGGCATTAGAGATGTGAACCAGCACACTGGGCCTCTTCAGAATTTCACATTTTTATTGCATTATTGTGTGTGAGGGGCTGCAGGTTGAATCTGGGTGTGGGGGTCAGAGGACAACCTTTGGGAGGTCAGTTTTCCCTTTCTGCTGTGGGTTCTGCTCATTGAATTCAGGTTGCCAGGTTTGTGTGGCTAGTGCTTTTCCCTGCTGAGCGTCTCACCAGCCCTCCTGAAGGAAGGAGAAACGGCATATCAGATGACCTCTGTTTTAGGGAGCTTCCCGAGGAGCTGAAGAGCTGGCTCAGTGGTTAAGAGCACTTGTTGCCCTTGCAAAGGTTTCATTCTCGCCGGGCGGTGGTGGTGGTGGTGGCGGCGGCGGCAGCGGCGGTGCACACCTTTAATCCCAGCACTCGGGAGGCAGAGGCAGGCGGATCTCTGTGAGTTCGAGGCCAGCTGGTCTACAGAGCGAGTTCCAGGACGGGCTCCAAAGCTACACAGAGAAACCCTGTCTCAACCCCCGCCCCCCAAAAAAAGGTTTCATTCTCAGCACCCGATTGTGGCTCCCACAGTCCATAACTTCATCCCCGTGTATCTGGTGCCCTCTTCTGGCCTTTCCGAGCACTGCAGGCTCTGCAGGTGCACAGACATGCACCATCATACCTCCAAAAGCAACACTCATACATCTAAAATAATACAATGAAATAAAAACACTGGAGAGCTTCCATAGTTCCTCCTTGCTAGGAGCTGCATGTCCCTTCCCAGGGACAGAAATTTTTCATGTGATTTCTACCTCTCCAACAGTAATCCTAGCTGTTCCCCCCGCAACCCCGTGCCCACCCTGGATGAGGTGGTTCCCCAGCATCCCATAAACTCTATAATTCCCGAGTTTGGAGTACTGAGGGTGCCCATTTCAGCCTTCCCCTATACTCTTCCCCTTGGATGTCAGTTTCTGCTCGGAGCCGATCGCCCACCCAGGCCTTTTTCCGGTGCGTTGTGCCAGCCTGTCCTGCATCCCACATCCCCAGCTGTTGACATTTCCACGCGATTACCCAAGGGATGAATAAAAGGGCCCTGTTGTTCAACAATGGGGGAAAGACAGAGACAATGGGAAATTGTGTTTCCAGTGGGTGGGGACAGAAAAGAAAAGGACAGACAGACAGAAAGGGTCAGGGTCCTGAAGCAGCCGGACATCCTGGAAGTCTGATTCCCACCCTGAGAGCCTCTTCCAAAAGGCCATATGTAGCCTGGCACGGAGGGCACAGGTGAGGGCTTTGGTGGGGGGAGGGGCAATTTTGTTTTTTGGATGAGGTCCATACGGAAATACAGGGCTGGATCCACACTTAGGGTGCGTTCCCATCCCGCCTGGCCCAACACCCTCATACTAGCAGTTGGTCTGTCCCACCCCTGGTCTAAGAACAGAAGTAGCGGGGCCTGTTCTCTGCTCTCTTCTAGGTGATCCGGGTCGCTTGCTTTACTCTGTCCTCTGTCATCTCAACCCTGTGTCTTGCCCTGGTCCCAGGACATCAAGTGCCACCGATCCAATCATGGCTGGCTTAGTGTGAGCTAGAGAACAGGTCTCAACACCTGGCTTCTTTGAGCGCAGGAAACAAGCCTTCCTGGAAAAGTGTCAAAGGAGCCAGAGCATTGATCAGGCGCCCAATCCCTGAGGCCTTAGGGTGCTTTGAACCCCCAGGATCCCCAACAGCACCTCCACTGGAACTTCTTCCTTCAGCAGGACAGGAAGCTACTAAGCACTGCTCCCTTTGTCTCTGAGGAGAGGTCATCTTTTCAGGTAGGCCCTGGGCTGGAGGCTACTGTGTTGGTTTCTTTCTGCAAGGGGTATGGAAAAAGTATGTGTGTACTTCTCTTAACAACAGAACTCTAGATCAGTGGCTAAGAGCTCAAACCGGTCAGGTCTGGAATCAAACCCCAGCAAATTGTTTCACAGCTCTGTGACAGTACCTGTGGCATTTATCACTGCCTCCCTGGATCTCCAAAGGCATGAACACACAAGTATACAGTGAAGTGCCTTGATCAGATTGCACTTTAAATATGCCAATGGTAGCTATCCTGGATCATTCTTGGTCCATTATTTTAAAAACCTTTTTTTTGCATTTTATTTATTTTTTAAGATTTATTTATTATGTATACAGTGTTCTGTCTGCATGTATGCCTGCAGGCCAGAAGAGGGCACCAGAGCTCATTATAGATGGTTGTGAGCCACCATGTGGTTGCTGGGAATTGAACTCAGGACCTCTGGAAGAGCAGTCAGTGCTCCCAAGCTCTGAGCCATCTTAGTGTAACTAACCTGTTTCTCCAGCTACAAACTGGTCTTCAGAGCTCAGTGCTTAAGACACTCTTTGAGGCCTTTCTTTACCCTAACCTAGTGTGCCCATCCCTCCTTCCCGTAACTGTTTAATGTTAGTTCATAACAATGCACATCCAGCTTGGCCCTACTCTGTACTATACAGCACTTGTTCCTCGTCAGACACCGGTTTTTTTTTTTTTGTTTTTGTTTTTGTTTTTTGAGACAGGGTTTCTCAGTGTAGTTTTGGTGCCTGTCCTGGATCTTGCTCTATAACCCAGGCTGGCCTTGAACTCACAGAGATCTGCCTGGCTCTGCCTCCCAAGTGCTGGGATTAAAGGCGTGCGCCACCACTGCCCGGCCCAGACACCGTTTTAAGTGGTTTACACATCCTTGACTAATTCACCTAATTCTTGCAACTGCTAAGTGTAGTGTGTTAGTTATGCTTAATGTCGCCACGACCAAAATATGCAACAGAAGCAGCTTTAGGAAAGACTGATTTTGGCTCACAATTTTTTTTTTTATTCTGTCTGGTGCTCCTGCCCACAGGGTGCTGTTGCCCACATTCAGGGTAGGCCTCCTCCTTGGTTAATCCTCTCTGGCTATATCCTCACACTCATGCCCAGAGGTTTGCTCCAGAGTCTACTAGGTAATTCTAAAGCCACTCAGGTTGACAATAGGGACTAGCCAGGTAGGATGCTTTGATTGGCACCTTCCTAATCAAGACACTTGGTTAAGGTTATGCAATTAGCGCATGGAAGAGCCCAATTTGAAAAGAGAATAAAAACCAGTCAAGGGTCATGGTCCACCATTTGTTAAAAAAAAAAGTTCCAAGTGATAAGAATAGAAACTACAAAAACAAACAAGAAAGGAAGAAAGGAAGGAAGGAAGGAAGGAAGGAAGGAAGGAAGGAAGAAAGAAAGAAAGAAAGGAAGGAAGAAAGAAAGAAAGGAGGAGAATCCACAGCCCAGACAGACAGACAGCTGCATAGCTTTACAATATTATGCACTGTAACTCCTAGAAAATCCTAGTGACACAGCCCGCCAGTGCATGTACAGTGCTTTCAAATCCAGTTAGTTTAGCCAGTGATGAGGGTATAAGGAGAGAGTTCCTTGTCCAGTCCAGTAGACTTCATATCCACAGTGAGACAGACTGGAGAATGACGGAAGGTTCTCCAGACCTAAGGCCCAATTCTGATGTCTCAAGTTCATTGTGTCTGGACTCCAGTGCAGAGTCAGGCTGGGGAGACCTTGACAGTGCAGGGGAGGCTGGAGCCTGGAGCCTTGGAAACTGTGACGAAGGTTCGACTTTATCAGCAGCATGAGAGCGAGCCACGCTTTCAAGCAGGAGAAATCCTATTTACTCTGGCTTTGGGACAGAACGTGATGCTGTCAATACATACAATGAGGGGACCCGGGAGGAGTGCTGAGGTGGGACTTGCTGGCTGAGATAACCTGTCACCAGTCTCTTGCCTCCCGGCTGGACAAATGCCTCCATATTACCCAGCAGGAAGCTGATCCTCATTCCTCTCCCGCCCCCCATTTTTTCCTTCAGTACTAAGGAGTGTCCACCATTTGTGCCCACCAACGGCGCTTGCTGACACCATCATGCCGCGTCGGACCCCTCTCTCAGCATTCTGCTACTTCCTTCTCCCCTGGGCGTTCACCATCCTTCACCAAGCCCTGGGGGACTCGGGTAAGACCCTAGCCCAGCCCCCAACCTGGACACTGGGGGAGGGGGTCAAGGGATGGAGGGCTAGGAAGAGCAGCTACTGAAAGTACCTGGGGAGTGAGAATCAGTGCGGAGAGGTGAGGGTGGTGCCAGTGAGCCAGAGGAAAGCTTCTGGGGACCAGGTCTGAGCGGGCACTTGGGGCAGGGAGGATAAGAGGCCTGCCACTGTGGCCCCTCTGCTCAGCCCCCCATCCGGGTCCCCACTACCTCCTGCCCCCCATCCACGAGGTCATTCACTCTCGTCGTGGGGCCACGGCCACACTGCCCTGCGTCCTGGGCACCTCGCCTCCCAGCTACAAGGTACGCTGGAGCAAAGTGGAGCCCGGGGAGCTCCGGGAAACGCTAATCCTCATCACCAACGGACTGCACGCCCGGGGCTATGGGCCCCTGGGAGGGCGCGCCAGCATGCGGAGGGGGCATCGGCTGGACGCCTCCCTGGTCATCAAGAACGTGCGCCTGGAGGACGAGGGCCGGTACCGCTGCGAGCTCATCAATGGCATCGAGGACGAGAGCGTGGCGCTGACCCTGCGCCTGGAGGGTGAGCTATGTTGTTCCCGCACCGCTGGTCACTAGTTGTGCCCGGTCACCTCGCCTCTGCGGGGCCTCCCCTGCCGGCGCTCCCCTCGGCACCCAGCTGCCCTGCCCAAGCTCTCCACGCCCCGCCAGGTGTGGTGTTTCCGTACCAACCCAGCCGCGGCCGCTACCAGTTCAATTACTTCGAGGCGAAGCAGGCGTGCGAGGAGCAGGACGGACGCCTAGCCACGTACGGCCAACTGTATCAGGGTGAGCGCCGGATCCCCGACTGGTGATCCCGGGGTGCACACCGGTCCCCGCAAGCTTACGGTGGCGGAGGAGTGGGGAGCTCGAGTCTGGCTAGCGCCGGTGACCCCCGTCCTCTCCGCCCCCTCCTCCGCCAGCGTGGACCGAGGGGCTGGACTGGTGCAACGCCGGCTGGCTGCTCGAGGGCTCGGTGCGCTACCCTGTGCTCAACGCGCGCGCCCCGTGTGGCGGTCAAGGGCGGCCAGGCATCCGCAGCTACGGGCCCCGCGACCGCAGCCGCGACCGCTACGACGCCTTCTGCTTCACCTCGGCGCTGGCAGGTGAGCCAACCGCGGGCAGGCGGTGCCCGGCCTGGGGACCCCGCCTGGAGGAAGGGCGGGGTCGGGCCTGGGCCAGGAGGAAGGACTTGACCCGGCCGAGTGACCTGGGAGATGGCAGGAGCCGGACACGTAGACCCGGCGGGGGCGGGTCTGCGCCCAGGGTCGTGGGCGGGGCCTGGCGGGCGGGGGCGGGTCTGGGGCGGGGCCTAGTGCTACAAGAGGAGGGGAGAGGCAGGATGTGGGCGGGGTCTGATGTCAGGGACTGCATTCCTCTGGACTCCCGCAAGCGCAGTCAGGCCATTTCTGGAGCTTCGCGGTCGCGTCCCCCTCCCAGACCGGCTGCTTGGGGCGATCGGTCACCCGCTCACCTTCCCAGGTCAGGTGTTCTTCGTGCCCGGGCGGCTGACGCTGTCTGAAGCCCATGCGGCTTGCCGGAGGCGCGGAGCTGTAGTAGCCAAGGTCGGGCACCTCTACGCCGCCTGGAAGTTCTCGGGGCTGGATCGGTGCGACGGAGGCTGGCTGGCGGACGGCAGCGTTCGCTTCCCCATCACCACGCCGCGGCCGCGCTGTGGGGGTCTCCCTGACCCCGGGGTGCGCAGCTTCGGCTTTCCCCGGCCCCAGCAGGCGGCCTACGGGACCTACTGCTACGCCGAGAAGTAGGAGCGCACTGACCTACCACGCGCGACAGAGTGGCGGGTCCCCTCTCGACAGACGGGGACTGAGCCCCACACCTGCCTTCCCAGCCCAGCTCAGCGCTCCGGGCTCCCGGGCAGAGGGGCGTCCCGGGCATTAACTGACCAATAAAATAACATGGCACCTTCTCGGTTCGATAAGCTGTAGGGCTTGGAGGCTTGGAAGTACGTGTGTGAAAGGATCTGGCCCTGGACCCAAAGCACGCCTACAGTCTAGAGGAAAGGCTCTATTGCTTCTGGCGTCAAAAGCCAGGACAGAGGGGAGGAAAGCTCACAGGCCTGGCCATCCTCGTGGGAGAACTCAGGCTGCTATTATGTCTAGTCAGTCACCCAAGGAATTCTCATGCAAATTTGCAAACTTACAGAACTGTTAGGCCCTACAGAACAAATATTCAATAGGTCTAAACACATTTTTAAATGTACTTAGAAGCGTTTCCAAGGTCTGCTTTAATTAATTAATTAGTTTTGAGACAAGGTCTCTCAATTTAGCCCTGGCTGTCCTGGAAGTCACTATCTAGACTAGGCTAGCCTTGAATTCACACCGATCAGTCTACCTCTGCCTCTTGAGTGCTGGGATCACACCCAGCTAAAGTCTACAATTAAAGATAGTAAAGTCTGGGTGGATAGCTCAGCAGTTAAGACAACTTGCTGCTCTTTCAGAGGACCAGAACCCACAACCATCTGTAACTCCAGTTCCAGGGAATCCAACACCCTCTTCTGACCTCCTCAGGTACCAGAGAGGCACATGCTGCACATATATACTCTAATAAATCCATTCAAGAAAGATACAGACAACCATGCAGATTAAGACAATTAAAGTAAATGCGCCCTTTATTTCTGGCCTGTGATCAAGAGTGGGTTCGTGCCTCAGTTCATGTTTCTTGGTGTGGGAGCTCAGGGGTCCAGCATTTTTAAAGATACAAACCACATTAATGGTAGATGAGAGTTAGGATAACTTTACAACATCTGGTTTTGGCAGACCATAGTAGTTATTTCATGCATAACATGGCAACCATTTTTGACTTATACCTTCTTCATTTATTGTAGACATTAATTATTTTGGTTAATGCATCTGGACCATGGTCAGAGGCATGGAAATCCCAAGTGTGTAGCCAGGTTAGATGTGACGGTTGGAGGTGGTGGGATAGGGGACTAAGCGTCCAAGCAGACACAAAATGGAGCCAGGTCAAGATGGCCTCACCTGGGTCACTTCACTCACTCATTTATTTAAGTTACATTTAAGTCGTTGGTTTTTATGAAGGAGTGGGTGATGGGTAACAACTAGTGAACTAGGTAGAGCCTGATCATTAAACCTAGGAGAACAAGGGCAAGCAGACCCGTGGGGCCATGACTAAGGTGGTTGGTCATGGATTTCAATGAAACCAGCTATGGAACCAGGGATTACTGGTCTTTATTATTTGTTTGTTTGTTTGTTTTTAAAGATTTATTTATTATGTATACAGCATGTATGTCTGCAGGCCAGAAGAGGGCACCAGATCTCATTATGGATGGTTGTGAGCCAACATGTGGTTGCTGGGAATTGAACTCAGGACCTCTGGAAGAGCAGTCAGTGCTCTTAATCTCTGAGCCACCTCTCCAGCCCTATTTATTATTTGTAAGGATCAATTGTTGTTTGGGTATATAGTCAGGCATGAGTTATTAAAGAAATCAGATAAAAAAATCTAAACCTATTATTTTTAGATACAGCAGAGGTAATAAAATTTTGTCAGAGTCTGGTCCTGGGGAGGTGTCAGTGCCCTATAGGAAGCACTCTGGCTAAAATTATGACGAGTTCAGAGGGAGAAAGGGGCATCATAATCCCTGAAGGAATAAACCTTAAACAACCTCTTCTGGGCCCTGACCAAGGAGCTTTCAGCTGCCCTAAGATTTGCTGAAATCCCTTCCCTGTGTTGACACTCCAGCCCCTCCCCCTCCACTGCCATTGGCTAACTCAGTCACCCACTATCACCCACATCCTGACAGCCAGGGCAAGACAGTTTCTAAAGGTAAAACAGCCTGGTCTGGACAAACAGTTCCAGGAAATAGAGACAGCAGAATGGCAGGTATCCCCCTGCAGCTGCATTTAACTTCTGCATTCCCCGGGCCCCCTACATAAGCTCCAAGTGTTCCCTTTCCCTCAGGAGAATGTCTGCCTATTGCTGTTTGAAATAAACGGTCTTCTGCCGGTCAGCCTGCTCTCTTTCCACCTCTGTCTCTTTATCCTGCTTCAGAAATCTAACAACACCTGTCTCCAAATGTCCACTTTTGAATTTCGTAAGCTTTACCATGGGAAGGCCCCCGACTTCCTGCTTTCCACAGGAGCAGGCTGGAGAGCTAGCTGGTCCCAGTTGTCCTCTCTGGAAAGTGACTCTGAGAGGCTGGTCTGGGTGAACTTTCCCAGTCCAGGATTTTCCCTCCTCCGGCTGTGCTGTTTTCTTTACCCAGTCATGACGGGTCCAGATGACACCTATAACTCAATGCTTAGATGAGTGTCCACAGTTGACCTGCTGTGCTGACTGGCCCTGTGGCAGAGCCTCTGTCTTAGTATTACATTATTTGAAACTCTCTGGGGACTTCTAACAGAATCAAGGAGTTTCCTGTCAGCTAAGAGGACAATTGAAAGCCAGGGTAGGAGGCATGGCCAATCCAACTAGCATGCAGGTCCCATCCCAGTCAGGTAGGAGGTTTAGGTACAAGCTTCCTCTGTCCACAGTACCTCACATACCAGTTTGGGAGACATTGAGAGCAGAGTAATTGCTGTTTGTCTCTCTGTTGCTGGAGACCTTTAGGATGTGAATGCAGACTCTGAGAACCTCTGCTGGGTGAGTGAACCCATCCTCCTGTCATGTGAGGCATGAAGAGTAGTTCATTTTCCCTACAGATAAGGAGGAAGGTTTCCAGGTCTGGCCTATTCAGCCAGAGACGAGAGCAGCAGACTTCCAGTGAGTATCACACTTCTCCTCTAATGGGGCTAGCATGCAATTTACTCTGCTGGGGTCTGTGTCCCATCCAAGGAAAAGGGTATTACTTGAGTCTAGGGATGTTCTGCTGTGCAAGCATATTTGGATTTTAACCCATTTTAATCAAGCATTCATTTTCATAACCAATTTTTAAAATATACATGATTTTGAGTATTAGTTTATATTAAAGAAACTTTGCATTTACTTTAAACTTGTTTTGAGTTACATGTTTTAGGCTTAACTGACCACATACACAGAAGACTATATATATAATGGAAGATATAAATTCTCCTTCCACACTTGTCTCTGTGAGTGAATTACCTTTGTGCTTAGCTGGACTACAAACACAAATCGGGACACACTAAAGATATTTGGTCATTTATAATATCATTATCTTTTGGGAGGGTTTCTCTGTGTAGCCCTGGCTGTCCTGGAACTCTCTTGGTAGACCAGGCTGGTCTTTAACTCATATCCACCTGCCTCTGCCTCCCGAGTGCTGGGAGTAAAGGCTTGTGACACCATGCATGTCTTTTATGTCTTAAGTACCTTTAGCAATTTACAATAAATTAGTTATTCTTATAGGATAAGGATTTTATAACTTTATCCTCAAGATTTTTGAGCCTTAAACATTACAATTTTGAATTAAAGCTCACTCAGCAACAAAATACACTTTAAAACTCTGTGCAGAAACTGGGAACTTCATTTTCATAATCCTTGTATAGTGTACTTTTATAAAACATCACAGTTCTTTTATATGACTCAATTTCTTCAAAAAAACTAAAGCTAAATGAAGCTAGCAAAGACATGGTGATTAGACATACAGGCTGGCCTCAAACTCACAGAGATCTATTGTAGAATAATCTTCTTGTACACTGTGAAGATGTGTTGCTCTCCTTGGTTTAATAAAAAGCTAGATGGCCAATAGCTAGGCAGGAAGAGGTGAGGCAGGACTTGTGGATAGGGAGAGATCTCTAGAAGGAAGAAGGGCAGAGTCGCCATATGAGGGGAGAAGCAAGATGAACATGCCATGCTGAGGAAAGGTACTGAGCCATGTGGTAGGACATAGATAAGAAATATGGATTAATTTAAGTTGTAAGAGCTAGTTAGTAACAAGCCTAAGCTATTGGCCGAGCATTTATAGTTAATAATAAGTCTCTGTGTGGTTATTAGGGAGCTCATAGGCAGGACAGAAAATTTCACCTACAGAAATCTGCCTACCTCTGCCTCCTGAGTGCTGGGACTAAAGTTATGTGCCACCACTGCTCTGGGGGCTGGAGAGATGGCTCATCGGTTAAGAGCACTGGCTGTTCTTCCAGAAGTCCTGGGTTCAATCCCCAGCAACCATGTGGTGATTCACAGCTCTCTATAATGAGATCTGGTGCCCTCTTCTGGCATGCAGACATACATGCAGACAGAACACTGTATATGTAATAAATAAATAAATCAATAAATAAATCTTAAAAAAAGATTTATTTATTATGTATATATACAGTGTTCTGTCTGCATGTACCCCTGCCCTCCAGAAGAGAGCACCAGATCTTATTACAGATGGTTGAGAGCCAACATGTGGTTGCCAGGAATTGAACTCAGGACCTCTGGAAGAACAGACCTCTTAACCTCTGAGCCATCTCTGCAGTCTGAGTTTATGAATCTTTTTTTTTTTTTTTTTTTTTTTTTTTGGTTTTTCGAGACAGGGTTTCTCTGTGTAGCTTTGCGCCTCTCCTGGAACTCACTTGGTAGCCCAGGCTGGCCTCGAACTCACAGAGATCCGCCTGGCTCTGCCTCCCGAGTGCTGGGATTAAAGGCGTGAGCCACCACCGCCCGGCCCTGAGTTTATGAATCTTAATCACCAAACATATCTAAATTAAGTCTTACCCTCGATAAACCTTGTATAATTTACTCAGACCCTTTGTGATTTGACTTTAAGCATTCATGGTTTTGTACTCATCTATTATTTTTTATTCTTAGGGTAAAATTTCATTTCATCATACAAAATCTATTTTTATCCAAAATATTTAAACCTTTTTATAAAAAAAAAAAAAAACTGTCAAGCTCAGCATGGAGGCGCATGCATTTAATTCCAGCATTGGAGAGGCAGAGGTAGTTGTATCTCTAAGTTTGAGATCAGCTTTGTCTACAGAGTGAGTTCCAGGACAGCTAGGGCTACACAGAGAAATCCTGCCTCAAAAAAGAAATACACACGCCGGGCGGTGGTGGTGCACTCCTTTAATCCCAGCACTCGGGAGGCAGAGCCAGGCAGATCTCTGTGAGTTCGAGGCCAGCCTAGGCTACAGAGTGAGTTCCAGGACAGGCTTCAAAGCTACACAGAGAAACCTTGTCTCGGAAAAAAAAGAAAATTCACTAAGGTAAGTCTTAGGCAATGTCTATTTTTATTAGGACCTTTACCCAGTATATATAATAGCTTTCCCATTGCTGCATTCGTGGACTCTCTGCCTGTTCTTGGTTTTTACCCTATGTCCTCTAACTTATCCAAAAAAACCCTTAAGGCCTCATTCAATTAAGGCCTAGCTGGGAGGAGAGCTGGACACTCAGGTGAAGGTTCGATGACATTGCCTACCTCCTCCTTTCTTCCAAGAATATTAACTTTTAACCAGTCTAGCCCAGTTGTAATTATTTCAAGCTGGCTCAGCTGGAATTCTTATTGAAATTTTAGACAAGGATTTGTTTTGTTTTGTTTTTCTATAACCAGTTTGTATCAGCAAATGGGGAAAACAACATGAAAAGCTTAATAAGTATTCTGCATCTTTTTTTTTGTTTTTTCGAGACAGGGTTTCTCTGTGTAGCTTTGTGCCTTTCCTGGAACTCACTTGGTAGCCCAGGCTGGCCTCGAACTCACAGAGATCCGCCTGGCTCTGCCTCCCGAGTGCTGGGATTAAAGGCGTGCGCCACCACCGCCCGGCAATATTCTGCATCTTATAAAGACACCAAGTTGCAGAATAGCATAAAAACCAGACATCTAAGAGAACTCAGAAAATGTTGGCTTTGGGTTGTTCTTTGCTTAATTTATCCATGTCTATAACTGAAAAGAAATAAGTAGAAATGAAAGCAATGTTAATCCCAAAGATGAACGGAGGAAGACCATTGGCCACAAATGATGCCCAGACCAAATCAAGGTTCATTATGTACACAGCAGAGCCAGCCAGCAGCTGTCCCCCCCTAAGGCGGGCCTCAAGAGATCAGCCCTGAGCCAGTTTCTCAAGTTTACTTTTTCTAAAAAGATTTATTTATTTTATGTGCCTTGGTGTCCTACATGCTTGTATGTCTGTGTGAGGGTGTTGTATCCTCTGCAACCAGGGTTACAGACAGTTGTGAGCTGCCATGTGGGTGCTGGGAATTGAACCTGGGTCCTGTGGAAGAGCAGCCACTTCTGCCAACTGTTGTGCCATCTCTCCAGCCCTCTCAAGTTCCTTTTATAGGGCAGAACCATAGGATGGGGGGTTCTGCAAGCAAGTGTGGTTACAGAAGCAGGACCAGGCAGTTAGGATTTTACAAAGCAGCTAAGGAAATCTTCCTGGAGCTTTTGTTACAGAATGTTTCATGGTTATGGGATGGGGCATAGCACATTTCTGAGAAACAGAGACTTAAGTTTTACAGTAAGGAGACTTAATTTAGCTACAGACTCCAAATGGCTCCTGATTACAAAATGGAGTCCAGCTGGTTTCTTATTCCCCCTTGTCTTGGGCGTCCCTGTCAAATCCTTGAGGGGAAACTTCCATTTCTAGTTGTTGCAAGGGCCGATAATGCCAACACAGGGCGGGTATTCTATTATTTTCTGTCCGGCAGGACCAGTCATGAGGAACACTCTCAGGAGGATTAGGGAACCTGCGGTGGCTGAGACAGGAGTTGCTACCCAAGGGGACCAGCTGCACAGTGACTAGTACCAATGGTTTCCCTTCTGTTCATCTAAGCATTTGGCTTTAAGATTGTTTCTTACCATGGCTAGGATTTCCCTGATTATACCTGATTGGTTAGCATAGAAACAAATTTCTCATAGGGACATATATAATTTTTCTTTATCTGCATAGAGCAGGTTGAGTGCCCTAGCATATTGTCGAACTACTTTAGCTAACAAATCTACCTATTGATAGATCTTGGTCTACTTGGTTTTAACAGGTACCTTTTTTATAACGAGGGAGCCTGGAGGCCAGTATATGTCCAGCTATGCCAATGGGCATTATGCATAACCATTTCATGCCCTTTGCCAGAGTTTCCTTTGAATCTAATAGTCCAGCCCTTTGTTGAGGGTAAGGGATGACACTCTTCTGCTTCTCAGCTGAAATTAAGATGCAATGGTCAGGGCCCAGGAAGGCTAGCATGTTAGTCAAAGGCCAGGAGGAGATTAGGGCAAGGGGGTATTCATTAGAAGCATCTGGTTCGCTGACGCAGCTAAAGAGACAAAGAGCAATCACATTGACTGGGCTGGTTTATACCAGCTTTCAACAATTCCAGGGCTCTCTGGCTTTGCAGGACTACCTGGGGCTGGTGTGGTGTAGATGAACTTGGGAACAGGTTGTAGTCTGAAGCTGATTCCTTGATGGTGTTTGTCAGCCAAGTGGGACAGATGTGCTGGGGCAGATGTAGACTAGGGACAGAAGTTAAGGTTAAGGAACTTAAAGAACCTGAAGCTTACCTAAATTATTTTAAGTTATAAAAGAATTCGGTAAGTTGTTGAAGTAGATTCATATCTTTGAGTCATAGTCAAAGCTTGGGGACCCAAAAATGATTTTGAGTTAAAAAATATTAACATTCTTTTCTTTGTCCAGAGGACTGGATGGATGGATAAATAGATAGATGGATGGACGATATATGGATGGATGGATGGATGGATGGATGGATGGATGGATGGATGGATAAATAGGTAGATAGATAGAGATAAGATAAATGATAGATTGGACAGAGATATTTTCAGCATGATGAAAAGTATTTTCAAGTATCAGAACCCCATTGAATCATGTTAAAATTCTGAATTTTTACCAGCACTCAGGAGGCAGAGGCAGGCTGATCTCTGTGAGTTCAAGGCCAGCCTAGTCTACAGAGCAAGTTCTAGGACAGCCAGGTTAGTTATACAAAAAAACCTGTTCTCAAAAAAAATCTGAATTTTTGAAGTCTTGACATCATGTATTATCTTTTTTATCATGTATTATCTTTAAGTTTATTGTTATATCCTAAGTTATTTCTCAGACCCATACAAATTGCATTATTTTTTAGATTTTTATAATTTATTTAAGCTTCCATATCTTCAGACCTCCCTCTTTCTTCTTCTTTTTTTTTCTTTTTTCTTTTTTGTTTTGTTTTTCAAGACATGGTTTCTCTGTGTAACAGTCCTGGCTGTCCTGAAATTTACTTTTAGACCAGGCTGGTCTTGAACTCACAGAGATCCGCCTGCCTCTGCCTCCCAAGTGCTGGGATTAAAGGTGTGTGCCACCACCACCTGGCCACCAATGCCCGGCTGCTTCTTCTTCTTCTTCTTCTTCTTCTTCTTCTTCTTCTTCTTCTTCTTCTTCTTCTTCTTCTTCTTCTTCTTTATCCCATCATTTATCATGAAACATAAGCAGGTGATTACTGAGAGCCATCATTGCAAAGCAAGGTCCTCTAAATAAAAGAATAGTAAAAAAAAAAAAAAAAAATCCCACTGAAACCCGTTGCTGCGATTTTTTTTTTCTTTCTCATCAGGAGACCTAATAGCTAAAAAAAAAAAAAAAAAAAAAAAAAAAAAAAAAAAAGACCTGGTTTTCAGATATGAAATGCATTGACCAGGCGGCTCTTGTTAAACTGATAAAGCTAGAGTTAGCCATCAACATCAGAGATCTGAGAAGGATAAATTATAGCAGGAATTATAAACCAAATCACCTCTGTACCAAGCAGACACAAAATGGAATCAGGTCAGGGTGTCCTTACCTTAGTCACTTTACATACATACATGCAGGCAAAATACTCATTCACATAAAATAAAACAAACAACTCCCCCCCAAAAAATACAGTAAAGTCTGTTGCTATGGTAGCTCACTCCTGTTTCTGTGATCTCAGCACTTGGGGACAGTCTTCCTAAGGAAGGACTATTTCACGGTCAGGCTAGCCTGTTCTACATTGCAAAGTTCAGGGCCAGCTCCAGCTATATAGGAAGACCTTGCCAAAAAACAAACAATGCAAAACCTCAGATCTGACAGGTAATTAATCCTGTGGAAAGAGGAAAACACCACTGAGGAGTGACTGAACTATAACATTCTAAGTGTATAGCTATCCAGGCATGGTGGTACATGCCTTTAATCCCAGCACTCTGGAGGCAGAGGCAGGAAGATCTATCAGTTCAAGACTAGCCTGGTCTCCAGCCTGGGCTACATAGAGACCATATCTCATAACAAAACAGGACTAGGGCTACAGGAAATATACTAGTGGCCCAAAAGACAAGACTGCAGTGGTATTACTTATTCATAGATATTTGTAGATTTTATACACACAGTGAGTTGCTGAACAGGGCCAATATGCTTGAGAAATGTCTCAGGTGATTTTCTTTCTTCATGAACATGGCAGGATATATTTCCACAGCCCAGCTGATACAGTCTCTCACACAGAGCTACATGGGATAGCCTGGTGCTCCTAGGCTGTGAGCCGGACAGCACTATACTCACTACTACAGGCTCTGGGGACACTATGACATTTGTCTCTAAATGCTACAGTGCAAACCTGGCCCATCTGTTCAGGACTCTCACTATGGATGGAACATCCAGGGACGGGAACTGTTCAGGACTCTCGCTATGAACAGAACATCCAGGGACGGGAATTGTCCTTAGTGAACCAGTGGGTGAGCAAGGAAGGGCTGGGAAGGCCCAGGACTCACTCTAGGACTCTACCCAGGCTACACTAAGTTGATAAAAATGGTGCCTTTGGCAGCTGAGATGGCCCTTCAGGTAAAGGCCCTTGCTGAGGACCCGAGTGTGATCTCTGGGACCTACATGGAAGGAGAGTGCCTCATCCCCTAAGTTTTCCTCTGACCTCCACACGAGTGCTATTCATGGTACATCAACCCACACATGAATAAATATAACGAGAAAATTTTGTTTTGTTTTTGCTTTTCAGGTTTTCTGAGACAGGGTTTCACTGTGTAGCCTTGACTGTCCTGGAACTCACGCTGTAGACCAGGCTGGTCTTGAACCCATAGATCTACTAACCTCTGCTTCCCGAGTGCTGGGATTGAGGCATATGACACTACCGCCTGGCGAAAGAAAATTTTAAATATTTTCTTTCAATAATAAATGAACCTTAGCTTACTACCCCCCTCTTTTCTTTTCTTTTTCTTTATCTTTTTTTTTTTTTTTTTTTTCCGATAGACTCTCACCGAGTAGCCCTGGCTGGACTGGAACTCACTATTGAGATCAGGCTGGCCTAAAGGTATGCATCACAATGCCTTTTTACACCTTCATAACGCTTGGGTTACAACACAAATGCATGATATAGCTGTACAAGAATATTTTATATCCTGTTCTATTTTATTTATTTGTATTTAATATATATTACTATATAAATATTTACTTCCTTTTGATGTTGTTATTCTTTAAACTTTTTGTTTAAGAGTAAGACATAATTACGTATTAGCCAGGGCCCACCTGGGGTCAAGTTCATCTCCATCCTTGCCTACATTTGTCCCTGGGAAGGTCCTAGGGGGCGATCGGGCAGCGTGCATCTCCTGTGGTCACAGCGCCCTCTTCTGGAGGCCCTGAGGATTAACTGAGGTTTATTTATTTTAATTAGCTTTTTGCTTTGCTTTGTTTTTTGTTCTTGGTTTTTGTTTTTTGGGTTTTTTTGTTTTGTTTGTTTGTTTGGTTTTGAGACAGAGTCTCACTGTGTAGCCTTGGCTGGCCTGGGGCTCCCTATGTAGACTAGGCTGGCCTCAAACTCAGAGGTTCATCTGCCTCTGCCTCCCGAGTGACTGAGGCTCTTCTTAAGGAGAGCAGCTGTTTTTTTTTTTTTTTTTTTTTTTTTTTTGGTTTTTCAAGACAGGGTTTCTCTGTGTAGCTTTGCGCCTTTCCTGGAACTCACTTGGTAGCCCAGGCTGGCCTCGAACTCACACCTCCCGAGTGCTGGGATTAAAGGCGCGCGCCACCACCGCCCGGCGAGAGCAGCTGTTTTCAGAAATGCTCTCATGATCTTTTTTTGGCCCCCATTTCTCTTTCTCATCATAAATTTGGCTGTGGCCAGGTACAATGCCTAGGCCTGTAATCCCAGAATTTGAAAGACTGAGGCAGGATGCGGAGGCCAGCCTACTAGTGAGACCTTGGTGTGAGACTTCCTGCAGATAATTGAACAAACCCTTCTTCATCCCAGATGGTCACCAAGAACAGACCAGTACCAACCTTCCACTAAGGCCTCCTGGGCAAGCCAATGAACAGGTTGTGGTTACTTACAGGAGTAGGGCCAGCCAACGGCGGGTGCATCATCGAAAAGCCCGTCCCAGGATGTGTGGCAAGTCACAGAGGCTGCATCCCTGGAGCCCTCTGCCCCAGCCTGCAGCAGCTCTGTCCGTGAGCCTCCTCCTCCTCTTCCCAGGCTTCTTCACCGTTACTGTAACCTGGGGAGGGGCCTTGTGAAGGGTTTATGAGCTGTGTTTACTGCCTGTGTCTCAGGAACCTCAGAATATCTTAGTTCAGACTTCTCAAAACAAAACTAAACAAATGAACAGACAATGCACCAGTCACATTTCTCCCTGTTAGGGCCCAGGCTTGGTGGTGCATGCCTTTAATCTCCTTTAATCTCCGCAGAAGCAGGTCAGTCAGGGCTACATAGTGAGACCCTGTCTCAAACAAAACAAAACCCAACAAAAATCAAAACCCTTTTCTATTAGGGAGACCCTTCTGTGTTAGAAAAAATATTTTCAATATTTTTTAGACAAGTTGTTTGCTTGTTTTGTTTTCTTTTTTGTTTGTTTTTTTTGTTTTGTTTTGCTTTTTTGTCGGCCAGGCTGTCCTCAAACTGACTGTATAGCTGAAGCCGGCCTTGAACTCCTGTCTCACCTCCTGAGTGCTGGGTTGCAAATGTGTGTTGCTGTACCTGTGCCTAATCAGTGTTTTTAGCTTCTGTGCATTGTTTGTCGAAATGTACCATGATGTGGTAGTGATGGAAACAGCAAGGCAGTCCCTTTAGAAATGAAAAAGAGATAGGTTTGGAGGTGTAGCTCAATTGGTAGAATGTTTCCCTAACATGCATGAAACCCTGGGTTGGAGACCCAGCACCATAGAAATCAGGCAGTGTGGTACTCAACTGTAGTTCCAAATGGTGGAAATGTAGACGGGGGACCGGAAGTTGGAGGCCATCCTTGACTATGTAGCTGGTGTGAAGCCAGCATGGGTTACCCGAGGCCCTAGTTCCAGTTTGACTGATGTGTTGGTGTTATATTTGTGCTTGGCCAGTTTCTTCTCCTCTGCACTTATATTCTACCAAAAAGTTTTCTGTTGCACCGAATCCTGCCATTTCTGAGCTCTGAGAGCCGAGTGAAGGAGCTTGCTGAGGTCTGCAAACTTCTGCTGAGTGCTTCTTGGATTTTCTTTTTCTTCTGTAGATTCTGATTCTCTTCAGCTCCAGCAGAATCTTATGAGACTATTGCATTTACGGTATGCATGGCCTGTCACTGATGAAAACGTTGCTCTGTGGTCCAAGAATGCACTTGCTGTTCAAGCAGTGACGCTCCACCACAGGCACCTGGCTGGAGAAAGGTACTGGGTAAGGCAAGTGAGGGGAGGTCTCTAAAGGTGCTTGAGATGTCTTGTAAAATTGCTGTGTGGATGAAGAGATGGCTTGGAGGTTAGGAGCGCTTGCTGTCTTTGCAAAGGACCTGAGTTTGGCTCCCAACATCCACAATGGCAGCTTCCAACTGTCCTTGACTCCAGTTTCAGGGGATCTGGTGCCCTCTTCTGGCCCCTGAGGACACCAGACACACACAAAGTACACATATATACATATGGGCAAAACATGCATACACATAAAATACAAATGATAAATAAATCATTTAAAATTGCTTTTCAAGGCTATAACTGCTAAATCATTTTGCTATAATTACTAAAAAGAATTCATCCTGCAGGTAGTGGTGGCACAAGCCTTTAATCCCAGCACTTGGGAGGCAGAAGCAGACAAATCTCTGTGAGTTTGAGGCCAGCCTGGTCTACAAAGCAAGTTCCAGGACAGCCAGGGCTACACAGAGAAACTCTGTCTAGAAAAAAAAAAAATCGGGGCTTGAGAGATGGCTCAGCAGTTAAGAACACTGACTGTTCTTCCAGAGAGGTCCTGAATTCAATTCCCAGCAACCACTTGGTGGTTCACAACCATCTGTAATGAGATCTGGCGCCCTCTTCTGGCCTGCAGGCAGAACACTGTATACATAATAAATAAATCTTTAAAAAAAAATTCATCCCATGGGACATCGTGTAGGGACAGGGAGTGAGCAGATAGACAGTACCTCCAATAGTCGTCATACAGCAAATTGGACACTTGGGCTCAATGGCCAGGCTTTGGTCTCCTGGACATGTGGGTCTCGAGACATTGCACGCCCTGGGTAGTAAGGGCCTGGTGCACATAATCGCCTGTAGCAATTAATGACTACTGACAATAGCACACCAACAATCCTCCTCATCATCATTTTTCAGGTTCTGAGCCATGCCCATCAGCATCAGCTAGACCACCCAGGACTTAAATCCCAAAGGTAATCCTCCAACCCAGGCTTTCAGCTTCCTCATGAGTGATGCATCTCACTTTAGCCATTCAGGGCCTCAGGCTGTTATGGAAGTTACTTACCATCTCAAATGTAATTGATGGTGTTTTGGCTCAGCCTAGAATCCCAACATTCTGGAGTCTGAAGAGGAAGATTTCCTGGAGTCGGAGTCCAGCCTAAGCTGCATAATTAGTTCTGGGCTAGCCTGGGCTACAATGTCAGGTGCTGTCTCAGGGGGTAAAAAAGATAATCAAATGTCATCAGTCATCCAGGCAGAAGAAAGGAAAGGGCACTGGGGGGTGTGGGGGTGTTCTTCCACCCATGTCTCCCTGAGGTTCTCCTGGCCACTAGGGGGCAGGAGAGAACAACCTTACTTTGGCTGGAGATCCCTCCCAAACACTTTGATAAACAGCACCAGCGCCCAGGCCAGCATTCAGCACCAGGGAGGGTAGTCTGGATTCTGGGACACACTAAAAGCCTCCCCTTTACGTAACCTGAGCTTCCAAAATTCTGGTCTATGGTGAAGTTTTACCCCAGAAAGCCAAGATCCTGGACTCTAGCATTGAACCACTTTCCTTCAGGGCAACAGCATCAGTACGGGTCAAGAGATCTCATCAAGCACTGGGTGTGGTGGCAAAGACAGATACAGGCAGATCTCTGTCCCAGGCCAGCCAGCACCTCTTCTTCGTTTTTGCTTTTTTCAAAAATTTATTTTATGTACATTGATGTTTTGTCTGCATATATATCTGTGTGAAGTTACAGACAGTTGTTAATTGCCATGTAGGTGCTGGGAATTGAACCCGGGTCCTCTGGAAGAGCAGTCAGTGCTTTTAACCACTGAGCCATCTCTCCAGCCCCAGCCAGTGCTTCTTAATGAGACCCTATATTTCTGTTTTGTTTTGGTTTGATTTTTGTTTTTTTTGGGGACAGGGTTTCTTTGCTAGCCTTGGCTGTCCTAGAACTCACTCTGTAGACCAGGCTGACCTCAAACTCAAGTTTTGAGGCCTCCCAAGTACTGGGATTAAAGGTGTGTGGCACCACTACCTGACCCTATATTAAAATTTTAATTTAATTTTCTAAAAAGGAGGAGGAGAAAAGAAAAGTTGAATGTGGTGCACCCTTGTAATCCAGCACTTGGGAGAAAAGGCAGGATCAGAACCCAAGGTCACCCTTGGACACAGAGCAAGTTCAAAGCCAGGATGGACTATAGACAACCCTATAAAGAGGCAGCAGGAATTGGTGGAGATGGCTCAGAGGACCCAAGTCTTGATCTCTAACACCCACATGAAAGCTGAGTGTGCTGTGTGGGATGTCGTTTTGTATGTTGTGCACATGTGTTGTTCTGACTGTGTGGTATTGTATTCCCCCAAATATTGTGCATGCTAATAAACTTATCTGGGGTCAGAGACAGAGCAGCCACAATATTAAACATGAGGGTAGGCAGTGGTAGCACACGCCTTCAATCCTAGCATTCCAGAGGCAGAAATCCATGTGTTCAAGGATACAGCCAGGCATGGTGACTCACGCCTTTAATCCCAGGGAGTGAGTCTTTAATCCCAGGGAGTGATGGCAGAAGACAGAAAGATATATAAGGCGTGAGGACCAGAAACTAGAAGCATTTGGCTGGTTAAGATTTCAGGCTTTGGAGCAACACAGTTCAGCTGAGATTCATTCTGGATGAGGACTCAGAGGCTTCCAGTCTGAGAAACAAAACCAGCTGAGGAATTGGCAAGGTGAGATAGATGTGGCTTGTTCTGTCTCTCTGATCTACCAGCATTGACCCCAATAACTGGCCCCGGGTTTGATTTTATTAATAAGAATTTTTAAGATTCATGCTACATGACTGGTTGATAAATAAAACTGCAGCAGACTTGAGCTACTGTATGGCGTTCTGATCCACAGCGTATGGGCTTGAGTGCAGCCTGGCGGATTCCTGCCACTGTACACAGTGGCATCTGCAAGCTACATAGCATGGTGCGTGGTGGATATAGCTTTGGCTAGTACAGACAAAAACAGAAATAAGAAAAGAAAAGAAGAGAGAGAAAGGTTTGGGGCTATATGCTGCTAGATGGAAGCATAGACCCACTGCTTCCCAGAGTCTGTGGTGAGCATGGTTCCCAGAGCTGGAGGTAAACACAGTTCCACCATGTTGGAAAGCTGAGGTGGGTGGAGCCAGCAGCCAAAGCTGCCGTTTCAGTCCTAGTCATTCTGCAGTTTAAAACAATAGATTCACAAAAAGACAGATTAAGATTAAATAAACCCCTAAATGGTTTACATTATATGTAAAAATGCACATAGGCTTGGAAGAGAGAGGAAAAGATAGACAGTTATATAAAGAAATAGAAAGTTTTAAAAAATAAAGTCTTTAAAGAAACAGTAAAAGTAATATAAAAATAAGCCACATAAAGATGGATATTACACAGAGAATCTGGGTTGTATTGTCTTTGGGATTTTTAGCTGCAGAAAGATATTTGATTGTAAAGGCTGCTGAGTTAAATATATATATATATATTTATATTTATATTTATATATATATTTTTTAAATGTATCTTGACTTCAAAACTTGGATCTAAGGATATGTTGCTTTGGAAAGGAGGCTCTGCTTTTGTTTCCACAGGAAGCAAGAGACTATGGATTTGTTCCAGGTTAAGATGGATCAGATTTGATCAAGCCAGATCTCCTGAACTTTAACAGATGGTACCTATCAACAAAGGTTATAGTCAATCTTCCCAGGACTTGACCATTATCTAAAATTTTCTCAGGATCCCTATAAGACTACCAGCATCCACAATGAGCAGGAAGTAGCCTAAAACACTACACCCACATTCCCAAAAAATGGATTATAGATATTTGTCTTTGTTAGAGATTGGTACAAATTGTTATTGGTCATAGTCAATATCTTTCTAAAAGAAAAAAGGAGGACATGATATAGATATAATAGAATGAAAGGGTAAATTATTGAATCGACTTTTAAAGAGCAACTTGTTTTAAATTGCTATAGATTTTAGTTTATTGATACAAATTTAAAGTTAATTTTGTTATACTGTATGTATATTTCTACTCTTGTTTAAGGTATTATGTTTGTGCAGCTCAGTTGAAATTGTAATAGATAATTAAGAAATACAGATTAACAATTAGTCTTCTATGATATTCAAACTTATAGTCATGTTAAGCTTTCGAGGTACACACAGATATAATTCAATTAGGTAGGTAATCTTCAAACACTTCAAAGACCTACAGAATATGGCATTTAAAATGTTTTTTTAATTTTATAATTAATTTAATTTTACATATCAGCCACGGATTCCTTAAAATGTTTTAAAAACTTAGACTTTTCTGGACAATGAGACATGTCTGCTCCTGGCAGCACCAATTACTTCAAGGAAGATGATGGGCACCAAAGACACTACATATGGAGTTTATCTTCATGGCAAAAGTTAGCCATTTGGGCAAGAAACTGTTCTTGCCTGGACTGCTTGACAAAAATGTTGTATAAACTGGACATACAAGACCCATAGGAAGGTGACCACTGAACTTTGCAAGGTGAGATGGTCCTTCAGTTCCCTGCTTCGCAGAAGAAACTACCAGACATTCTGCAGAACACAGAGAGAGGCTGGCCTATAGGCTGAAGATGGATGCCCCAACGTTGCAGAAGAACTTTGGAAGACTGTCCAGGCAGACAACGGTCTCTGTCATTCTAGATTTTTGGAAGTTGCTTACAATGCCCTGTTTACTTAGGTAATATTATATCTTTCTGAGGTCTTTGATGTAGTTGAAGACTAAAGAGTCATAATTTTCCTTGGTTATGATAAAAGATAAATTAGATATGAAACTTTAGACTCACAAAAATATAGGATAGATGATAGAATATTTTCTTTAATTTTACAAAATACAAATAGACTAATTGTATTGGCCATGCTGATTGGTCAGTAGCCAGGCAGGAAATACAGGTGGGGTGAGCAGAAGAGGAAAATTCTAAAAAGAGGAAGGCTGAGTCAGGAGTCACCAGCCAGACACAGAGGAAGCAAGATGACAAGGCAGAACTGAGAAAAGGTACCAAGCCACGTGGCTAAACATAGATAAGAATTATGGGTTAATTTAAGTGTAAGAGCTAGTCAGTAATAAGCCTGAGCAAATGGCCAAGCAGTTATTATTAATATAAGCTTCTGAGTGATTATTCTATAAGCGGGCCACAGGACTGCAGGGGCTTGGTGGGACTGGAGAAACCTCCCTAGTATATGAATGTGATGGTACAAATCTGTGGGAGTGGGGACATGATGGTCCCTGGGGCTCCCCGCGGCCAGTCAGGCCAAACTGGTGGCTCCAGTTTAATGAGAGGCCCTGTCTCAAAGAAATAAGGTGGGGAGCAATAGAGGAAGATGCCCCACATGGAACTCTGGCCCCTACATGCATTCATGAGTGCATACACACATGTGTACACACAAGTACACAGCACACCAGAGATGAAAGGGAAGAAAAAAAAAACAGAACAAAACTGGGCCATTTCCCCCTCAAGTTTCCACCTTCTAGATTTAGCCGAGTGTCCTTACACTGTCATGTAACTATATTTAGACGTTTGATTAAATCCCATTCTCTTTTTTCCCCAGGAATAATCTATAAATGACACTGTGAACTTCTCTTTTGCCGCACTGGGAGGCATACTATGGTAGCTGTTCTCTGTGATTCTGTGACCGACCAGTAACGCTGGGGATGGTGTCTGACCTATTCTTTATGAAGTGCCCCATTGAAAGTCTCTTATGGCTTCTCAAATGACCACAGACTTGGCTTAGAACCACAGAAGTCAGACTCCAAATGAGCAGAGGTACCTCTCTGGGGCAGCGTCGCCTCCTCCTCTGTGGTCACCATGCCTCCTCCTCTGTGTGTGGTAGCTGCCTCTTCCTTCTCTGTCCCTCAAAAGGATACCCTGAGATTTTTCCCACTTTGCTATCCCAAGACCCTTAGCTGAAATGAAACATGTTTTGTGGGGCTAGAAAGAGAGTGTGCTCAGAGAGAGTGTTTCTCAACCTGTGGGTCATGACCCTTTCGTGGGGTCACATATCAGATATCCTGAATATCAGATATTTACATTACAATTCATAACAGGAGCAAAATTACAGTTATGAAGTAGCAATGAAATAATTTTAGGGTTGGGGTCACCACAACATGAGGAACTGTATTAAAGGGTCGCAGCACTAGGAAGGCTGGGAACCACTGCCTTAGATTTT